AGAAAGAAAGAAAGAAAGAAAGAAAGAAAGAAAGAAAGAAAGAAAGAAAGAAAGAAAGAAAGAAAGTCTTGCTAGACTAGGTATTCAGCCACAAAAATGAGATGGGTATCCCTCCGTAAACCACCCCCACCCCACCCTCACACAAGCCCAGGCTCAGGCCAGGTTGCTAATTAAGTAACTTCTTACTATAATTACCTAGTCAACCTTAATGACTTGGCAATTTCTGCCCAGTCTCACTGGTCCTGTAGGGGCTTTTTTTTTTTTTTTTTTTTTTTTTTTTCCAATTGTTAAAACAGCTGCGGAGTTTCTAGCTGGAGAGGTTCGCAAAAGCTCCAGAGTGAAGAAGGCTGGGGCAGGCAGTCGGTGAAGAGTCGCATTCTGCGCTTAGCTTTCCTCTCCTCAAACCTCCAGCTTTCCGGATTGAACATTCTCCTATACCTAACCAAGCCCAGAGTTTCTCTCCATTGTGCTTCCTTGGCTTCTGGACAGTGCGACGGTCCCACGTGTGCATCTGGCCAGGTTGTGCATCCTTGCGGAGGTCTCAGAAGCGCCCCCCACCCCCCACCCCCCGGTGGCAGGGACCTGAAGAGTGCAATGTGTCCTGTGTGAACCCCCTCCCCCCAGGGGAGCTCTTGGTCGCTGGACAGGAATGTATGGGAGAGAGAGGCAGCGAGGGGACGTGTGTGTGTGTGTGTGTGTGTGTGTGTGTGTGTGTGTGTGTGTGTGTGTGTGTGTGTGTGTGTGTGTGTTGCATGCTGGCGCGCGGCGGGAGAGAGGACGCGAGGCACGGTGGGGGAGCGGCGGGCAGAGGAAGGCGGGGCGGCGGGCAGCGGCGGGCGGGCTGGGAGGGGCAGAGGCTCAGGCTTCTGCTGTGACACTCGGAGCCAGCGCACACTCCTTGCCCGGAGCCGCCAGAGAGCAGAGCTAAGCGAGCCGCGTACGAGCTGCCGCCTCTGTCGCCGGTGTGCCGGGCTCTGCCTCAGCAGCCCGCGCCGGCGCTTAGCGAGCCCGCCGGTCCAGCAGCGCCAGCTCCGCGGGCGGGTTCAGCATCCTCCCGCCACCCGGCGCCCGCATCAGTTCGCGCTGCCGGGCGACCTCTGGCCGGGCGCGGCTGCCTGCGATACTTCGCTGCTACTTCTGCAGCCGCTTGGAAGTTTGCGGCTCCCGCCACAAAGTTGGGACACTTGGGCAATTGAATTTTGCTCTTTCATCTGCCTCTGCCCTAGCGTGCGGGTCCCCTCGGTTCGTAGATCCTGGTGCTTGACATCTTGGTGGAATCCTGGGACGTGGACCTTCCCCGCGCACCACATCCTCGGGGAGAAATAAATTAAACAAACTTTCCTCTTCCCGCTAGGAAAAACAAACAAGTTCTTTAAGGTAAGGAGCAAGAATGAAGCAATCCTCTCCTCCCCGACGCCTGAGTGCGGCGGTGCAGATCTAGTCCGACCGCGTTTGCACCCACGGGCCGGTTCAGGTCCGGGTTGAGACGCGTCCTAACACTGGGATGGACGAGATCAGAAGCACCTAGGACACGGGCATGGACATCTCTCCCTGGGCTTGTCTGGCCCGCCTATGACTTGTCCTCGGTGAGAGGCATTAGGTGGGCAGACACAGAGCTAGGGCGGGGGTGCTGGACACGCGTTGTCTGGCTGGAGCGGGTCCTCGGAACCGCTGGCTTTATCCTAGCCCTGCCTGAACACTGATTTTTGGCCTGCTGCCGGTGGGCTTTTGCCTTTCTCTCCCGGTACGAGGACCTCCTCTTCACCCGACTCTAGTTCTGCGGGACTGGGTGTTGCGGGGACGGGGTGGGGGCACCCGCGTGGGTCTGCGAAGCTTGTGGGACTCGCGGCAGGGAGCGTGGAGGCGGGCTCCCCGCAGACGGTAATGGCGCGGCGGTGATCGGCATCTTCTGGGACTCGCCCAGGGACCCCGCGCTCTCCCCTCATTTGTCCTCTGCCACGCAGGCCCGCATCCTTAGAGAAACTTCTCTAAGCTGGGTGGTCTGGGTCCCGCGCATACTTTCCGCAGCAGAGCAGAGCGGCTTCGGAGGTCGGGACGCCCTCCCGCTGCAGCGGCCACCCTGTGTGGTGACCTCCCCAGTCTGTGTGCCAGCCAGGGAGCGTTCTAGTCCGAACCACCTTTCTCCTTGGGGCGGCGGGGGAGACGCTCCCGAGTCTGAACGCCGGCTTTCAGACCCTCTCTGCTCTTTGGGGCGCTTCTCAAACTGCTGGATGTGGGGTGCCCTTCCCATTTTTTCTCCCGCACTTCGTTCCCACTCTTCCCGTCTTCCCCGTCCCAGGCTGAGATAGTTCCCAAGGTAGGTCGCTCCAGCTGCAGTAGGGTGGCCAGGCCCTCTCTGGCGGGAGTACCTCGAAGCTGGTTCACCCCAGTCTTCTATAGGGTCACCGCCCTCCTCCTTGGCCCTTCAGGGCGCTGTCCATTCTCTGCTCTGGGGACAGTTAGCTCCCTGAGTGGAAGACTGAACCTTAGAAAAGTCTCTGGTATTGATTTTTTTTTTTTTTTTTTTTTTTTAAGCAGAGCTCTTACTTGGGTTGGCAATTTGTTTACTTCTTGTCTTTCAGTGCTGTTAAATCACAGGGAATAGTTTATTTATTTGCCTTGAGCTGCAGGTCTCCAACACATTACTTTCTCATTCTCTTTCCACCCCTCCTTCTATGTGCTTTGTGGCCCCCCTTTTTTTCTTTTCTTTCTTTCTTTCTTTCTTTCTTTCTTTCTTTCTTTCTTTCTTTCTTTCTTTCTTTCTTTCTTTCTTTCTTTCTTTCTTTCT